ATTTTAGACGCAGTTTTTGGCAGATTGGTGAACCTCTGCCCATCTTTGCTTCTGAGACACTCCGCCTCGCTAAAATGCTCTTTTCATACCCAGTCATGTGAGTTAGTTGCAGATTGCTCCTCCAGCTGTTTTTTTAGTACCACTTACTTTTCCAGCCTTTTGTTGCCCCAACTTTTTTGAGATGCGTTGCTGCCATCAAGTTCTAAATGAGTTAATATTTTTCATGAAATGGTAAAATGTCTCACATTTCAACATCTGATATGTGTTCTATGTTCTATGAGATTTGCCAATCATTACATTCTGTTTTTATTTACATTTATTTACATTTTACACAGCATCCCAACCTTTTTGGAATTGGGGTTGTAATTGTGCATGGAAAACGATGAGCTGTAGTCTCTAACTGTGCACCAACAAGATAAATATTGTGATCTTATTCAAATACTGAAAGGATTGTCTGAATTGTGAGGTTGTGAAGAAGTCAGAATGTGAATTTTGCTACACAAGTGTGGCTAATAAGGTGGCCGGTAAAAACCCAGCAACACCGCTGCGTCTGATACACTTGTACCAGCACTACGCACAACCATGTATCACGGCTGTGCTGAAAACAGTCCACCACCCAAATAATATCTGGTCGGTAGTGGTCCCTTTCTGTCGATTAGTGTGTGCCTGTCAGCCCTTTCATGTAGACAGGTGACAAGTCTGCCTGTGCTGCCCTCACCTTACCTCCATGATGAGGAAGGCATGGTTTAATTAGGCTCTAAATCACCGTGGGAGTTCTGCCATCTTTCACACATACGCTCTACCTGCACATTGCAGGAAATGTCAGGGGAGCAGCACAGTATGGATTACCATTAGAATGATGCACTGCTGTTAGTTCATGGAGATGCATTTACTTACCGCCTGTGAAAAGAATGAAAATTGGTGCTAATGATGATGCGCGTAAATCAGTGCTTAATGCTAATTGTGTTGTGTTTTTTCTTTTTGGATGCAGTCAGTGCATTTCTGAATCCATTCGAATGAGAGAAACGTTAGGGACATTTTTAAGTGTGAATATTTTCATATGGAGCGGAGTTTCTTAGTGTTCTCCTTGTTGATCATTCAGATAATTACCATGTCGTCTTTTTTATGTGCAGATCACATCTGCTGGAATACTTTAGTGGTCGTGATAAGCGACATTCTGCTTCCTCTGAAAGCACGATTCTGCTTTTTCTGTGACATTTATGCCCGTTTGTGAATATTTTATACTAATTGAGGAGTGCCTTCCTCTCCTATGTGTGGTGAGACAGAAAGAAGTAGCCACCCTTGACCAAAACATATAAACTTTGACATTTGCCTTTTGTAATTAGCAGTTTAATGTAGTTGCAGTCCGAGGATGCAGCTGTATGTGTGCACAGTGTTGAAAGTAGGTCTCATTCCAGGCTCTGTTCAGAACATTCAGCTTCTTTTTTATTGAGAATGTTTTATTGAAAGGATTTCATAATCGTAGGTATAAAGCGAAGCACTGAAGCCTCTTTATGGTGCTGCTTTTCTGAAAACGAAGGTCCCTTACAGATGATAAGGAGCTTTAGGACGTCTTGTGGGAGACAGAGGCGCACGCGAATTTCCCCTGTCAGCACTATTGTTTTGAATCTTATTCAGCAATGCATGGGGTGACTCATAAGCTCTGTTGGTTTGTTAATGTGTTTATGGGGATGTTTTGCTACGCTGCTGGGTTCTGTTTTCATGGTTCAGTTTAATCCTGTTGTGTCTGCTGGTTACCATGGACACTGTTGTACAGCCCATGCCATTATTTCTGGAAATCTGGATCTTACTACTAAGTGAATGTGACGGCGCATGGCAGTGAGATGCTTGCAGTGAGCAGCGAGTCTCCCTCACATTTTTCATCCTTGGTAACGTGCCCTACACCCAGCTTCAAAGGCTGGTTTAGTTCCAGATAGCGCTGGGTGTTCTGTCAACTATGTCAGTAGACCAGTGATGGTGTGAGACTGTGATATTGATTTTCAGTTTTGGCAGGATTGATGGACAGTGAGCCCTATTATATCCACAGTAACAATCTGTTTCATCAATTTGTGGCAGCCCTGTTGCCAAGCAGTTTGTTTAGTTCATTTTTTCAAATCAATTTTGTGCAGTTCATCAATCATATCCAAGACTTGGCAGTTTAATGTATTATATTAGTGCTGTCGACAAAAGTAGAGAGGAGTAGAGAGCCAAGTTTTTAGTGATGACATGTAATTTGCTGGGTGCTTCAGATCATTATCAATGATATATATATCGCTGCTGTCGGAACAAAACCTCGTATCTCCAAACTGAGAACTTCACAGGAGAAGGAAAAAGCATACTTTACTTTTAATGCAAGTCAATGGAACCAGATGTTTTTCCAAGCAATTTAAGGTCATTTCTTTTGATCCATTCATCATGAAATATACACACAATGTAAAGAACAACAGGCATTTTCAACTGACCAAAATGGAGATACGAGGTTTTGTTCTGACAGCAGCGGTGTGTGTGTGTGTGTGTGTGTGTGTGTGTGTGTGTGTGTGTGTGTGTGTACGTGTATATATATACGCCAATCAGGCATAACATTATGACCACCTCCTTGTTTCTATGCTCATTGTCCATTTTATCAGCTCCACTTACTATATAGGTGCACTTTGTAGTTCTACAGTTACAGACTGTAGTCCATCTGTTTCTCTGCATACTCTGTTGGCCCCCTTTTACCCTGTTCTTCAGTGGTCAGGACCCCCATGGACCCTCACAGAGCAGGTACTATTTGGGTGGTGGATCATTCTCAGCACTGGTGGTGTGTTAGTGTGTGTTGCACTGGTCTGAGTATGTGTATATATATATATATATATATATATATATATATATATATGTGTGTGTATGTGTATCTGTTTTTGTTTCATCTGACCAGAGTACATTGTTCCAAAATGGTTCTGGTTTGTCTAAATGCTTGTGTTTAAAATATAGATGCACACTCCTGTGCTTCTTTTTCAGCAGAGGAGTTTTGTGTGTCGTGTAGGAAGGGAGATGATGGTGGTGCAGTTCATCGCTAATTGTTTATGTAACTGTTGTTTCTGCTGAGTTCAAGTCATCCTACAACTCTTTTCAGTTCTTTTCAAGTGGCTGCTGGCGTCTCTCTTACCTTACCTATCATTATTTACATCTTGCATGATTCACCTGTTTGAAGACAATTAGTTGTGGTTCTGTGAACTTGCATGTTATTGAACCAGTTGTGCTGCCAGAAAAGTTAAGGTTTTTGCTTTCAGCTTCTGTGGATTTTTCCATTCAAGTTTTGTTTAATAATGTTGTCCCTGAGAACTTTAGGAAGCTCCTTCACCTTTACCATGATTGCTGCATAAAATCTTCTCAGCCAATGGCGATGTCTTCTTTTATAATGCCACCAGGTACATTTTGCACAAGAACATTTTTGTTTTTATTTTTACAGCATTAAAATGGGGTTAGGGTGTCTGTGGTGGTGGAAATGGCTGCAGCAGAGCACATGATAGAAAGACCATACATGACATCCAGATGCTAGCACTTCTTGTGCTTTGTAATGTGCCCTACTTCCAACTTTTGGAGGTCTTTTCAGGTCCAGGTAGCACTGGGAGAAGTATATCGCCTATAGCAGTATACAGTATTGATGTTTTAAGCTTGTTTATGCTGAGAGCCAGTACAGTAACAAATGTACCAGCCAAACACATCATTAACACATCATGTTTAATGTAAAAAATCTTATGATTCACTTTGAAAGTAGCTTTTGTGTACTTATTTGCGAATTTCTATTGGCACTATAATAGGATTTTTAAGATCTCTAGCTGAAATTTAGACATTTGAAGCTTGTAACAGTAACCTGTTCTTTACTCTGAATGTTACAATTTGGATGTTGTACAACCTCTTCAGTTAAGATTTAAACTCAAAGCCTGTCTCTGAATATTATTAGAGCTTTAGCTATGTGCCCAACTTACTTTAGTGGGGACAGAATAAGGTCCTGTTTGCCCACAGTGAGCCTCTATGAACCATCCATGAAGTAATCAGCTGAATCAGTCACTAACAAAAAATTATGTGTGTGTGATTTCTGACATTACCTCACTGTTTTCCGCTGTCCTGTCCATCAGAGATATCTCTATAAGGAATGGCAGCTGTGACGGTGAAAGTATGAAGGCAGGGTGAGTGGGAGTGTTTGTTAGAGTGGGGCAGGATGTTTGCTTGATGTGACTTCATCAAACAACAAATCCTAGGAGCCTGTAGAGTCACATGCTTTCTTGGAATATGTGAAAACAGAGACTTCACATTTCACAGTTTTTTTGGATGGTGGATACAAAAAGTAACATACAGATGAGTGACAGATTATTGTGAGTGACATATAAGTGTCTTAGGAAGGTGTTGAACCACCATGAGCCGCCAGAACAGCTTCAGTACGCATTTGCATAGATCCTATAAGTCTCTGGAACTGTACTGGAGGGGTAGAACACCGTTCTTCCGAAGGATATTTCCTCTTTTTATTTTTTATTTTTTCTGGACAATGGCTGTGGAGAGTGGTGCCTAACACATCAGTCCAAAATCTCCCAAGGGTCTGCAAAAGTCCATCACATATGATTTACATCCTTTCACACATCCACACTTTTTTCCATTCTCATTTGTCTCTGCAGTACAGCACAAAAGTCAGAGACCACCCTTCATTTATTTGATTTCCAGTCAAAATGACTATTAAGTACAAATTATTCAAAAATGACAGAGGCCTCAACGAAATATCAGTTTTTTCATTATTTAGTTTGTCCACCTTTCACTACAGCTTCCATTTTTTTGGGAGAATTGCTTTCAGTTTTTCAAAGAAATCTGATGATTTTTTTTCCAGTTCAGTCTTAGAATTTGGTTGCAATTTCTGCATCATTGTTTGCATGTTTTTTGAAGAGCGTGTGGTCACTTTTAAAAGAACTACATCTTGTGAAACAATAAACTTACCAGTGTTGCTTTGCATATCCTCTTTTTCTCTTTAGATCAGCCATGGATCTGGAACATCCCTTACACACAAGCACCAGACACTCATGGGAATATATGGGTTCCCGTCCTGAAAACCTTGCAATGCTATGCTATGGACCAAAAGTAAGACAGGAAGATGCTGCTGCTTCTAACTGTATGGACTGACCTTTGTTTTCTCACATGTGAACTAGAAGCCTATAGGCTAGTAAAAATGGTGCTTTGAAAAGAATAAAAACTGTATGAAACATTTTTTCCTAATCCTACATTTAGTTTTTAGCTATTAAAGGTGAATTCCGTCAATTTTTTAACGTTTCTGCATAATTAAACAGTAAAGCTGTAAAGTGATTCATAGTAGTGAGGAATACAGGTCTAGAGTAACTTGCCGAGTCTGAATTGTTCAAAGCAGACATCTGAAGTGTTTAATACCTATAAAATGGTGTTTACATGACCATTTGAATAATCGGATAGCTGCAGATATCCGATTATGATCAGATTATCGAGTGCATGTAAATGCAGTCATTGTTTTACAATAATTTTGAGAGGGTTTCTGCCTACATGTATTTATTAAAATGTATGCATGATGCAGACATACATAAAGGGTTTCCCCAAAAGGGCCTTTTTTCACCATGTTTTTTGCCCTTTTTTCCATTTTACCTTTTTCAATAATACATGTAAAAAGAGAGTAAACAAGATGGCTATATTTGCATTGTAGACGTTGTGTCCCCTGGTTCCCATCACCTCCACTGTAAAGAAATTTGAATCGGTACGTTTCTCTACAGTTAACCATTTCACATCAAACCACCCTGAATGACTGTTCATATATCAACCTCTGAATTATGCAGAAATGTTGAAAAATCATTGGAATTCCTCTTTAATATTGTTAGGCAGTAAATAAATAGTTGTAAATGTGCTGAAACTGTATTTTTATCTGTTTTGATATTCTTACTGTAGTGATGATTACCCCTTAAATATTTCTTTAGCTAGTATTATTTTTGTGCCTGAACAGTATGTGCACATAAGCTCTGTAATAAAACCTATTTTGAATTGCACAGGTTTCCCGTTGAGTCTTTCAGCAAGATGCAAATAGCAAAACGGCACCTCTTGAGACCAATTGCTGCTTTCGAGAAAGTGCTGCTTTTCTGTTTGAAGGACAGCTGCAAGCGATGAGGCAGGAATAATCACGCTCCAGCTCAAATCTGAGCGCTGAGAATTAGTTTGCATCCAGACCCACCAATCATTTCAGACGCCGTTTATTGCAATCATTTCTCTGCAAGTGTACTTTCAGTGTGTTTGCTGTGTAACATAAGAGACCAATCTGTTAGAGGGAAAACAAGAGAAATAAACGATGTGGGGAAGGAAAAATCTTCAGCTCTGGATATATTTCCCTTCAGAGATAGGTGCCATGGCGACTTTGTGTGGTGATTGGTTTCTTGCTTTATGTTACTGCGATGTCGTAAATGTGTACATTGATGACTATATACTGCATGATTGCACATTATTCAGTCATCTTATATGGAAATTGGTATGTTGCTTAGCAACAATGGGGGGGGGGCGGACCTCACCCTGCATTGATAATGTCATGGTTTCCAGTGGGCTATATGGTTTGATCTCAATCTCGATTTAGACCTGTTTGCTGCATCTCTCCCAAATGAGCACATCTAGGATCTGCATACATTAACAGAAAAAGCAGTTGAGTGCATGGCACTTGAGAGAGGAATATGAATTATGGATGTCACTCAAAGCCTACAAGGACATTTGTGACATTTGTGGATACCATTTTTGGCTTTGACTGAAATTCTGTCTCCCATCCTAAAAAGGTCATTCAGTATTGATCTCGGAACAGTTTGGTTATTTCTATCCATTATCATGAGAGAACAACCAAATGGTGGGCACATAACATCTTTTCCAGTCAGAGTGACCTTATGGAAAGGTTATCCAGGTTCAAATTGTTTATTCCTTACACCAACAATTATGTTTTTGCCGTGATATATGCCTGATTTATATGAAGGCGGCCGTTCTGCATTTCACACCAATTGAGCCCTTGAAACAGAAAACCGTACATGTGACAATTTTTTTGTAAAAATCAAAAAGTAATTTATGGAATTGTTTGATGCCCTTTAGAAAGTAGAATGTTATACAAAATAAAGTAGAAAACAAAATAACTGATAATCCAAAAAAGGTAGAATGGGTAAGATATGGTTTTCATTGGAGGGGCTCAGTCCACCCAGTAATGTCCATATCTGATCTGTGGTCCGTATGCTGTCTGAGTTTGCCTGAGCAAAAATCTGAAGAAATTGTATTTTTTTTTTATGTATTTATGCTTTTTAATCATATTGCTAAAAAGTGAGCTAACAGTCTATTATGAATAAAAGGATGAAAATTATGAGGGATGCAAAATGATCAGTATTGGCATATCATTTCTTTAAAAATAATTATTGACATTGTACAGATGTTTAGATGTTTGACGATATATTAATTGCTTGTTCTAGTTTTACCTTGAGTTTTGCCTTTGGTTAGTGAAGCGTGTGCTTGATTGGATTGAAGTCGAGTGATCTGGGTTGACCGTTACAGAACGTCCCACTTCTTTGCCTTAAAAAAAGGCTTGGGTTCCTTTGCTCTGTGCTTTAGATCATTGTCCATTTGCACTATGAAGCATCATCCAATGAGTTGGAATCTGTGCAGATAATACAGCGCTATACACTTCAGAATTCATCCTGCTGCTTTTGTTAGCAGTCACATTATCATTAAAGACAAGGGAACCAGTTCCATTGCAGCCGTACCTGCCTATGCCGTAACACTAACTCCACCATGCTTGACAGATGAGGTGATGTGCTTTGGATTATGGGCACTTCCTTCCCTTCTCCATACTCTTCTCTTCCTGTCATTATAATGCAAGTTGACCTTTATCATCTGTCCATAAGATGTTGCAGCAGGCTTTTTGAGATATTTTTGGCAACCTCTAATCTGGTCTTCCTGTTTATATATTGATCATTGACACAGATACATTTACCTTCAGGAGGGAGTTCTTAATCTGGCCAACTGTTATGAAGGGGTTTATCTTCACCAGGGATAGAAATTTTCTCTGTCATCCAGCACATTTTTTTTTCCTATTGTTTTCGGGGCCTTTTTGGTGTTGATGGTGAATGTACCAAATAGATGGTTTGGCCACACCTAATGTTTTTGCTGTTTCTTTGATGGGTTTGTTTTGATTTTTCATATTATTGTTAATATTTATGGACCCAAATGAACAACCGATATGCACATGTATAAGCCCACAATTCCCACATCTGTGCTTCCCTAAAAGTGACGTGATGAAAAATATTCATTACAGTTAGAGTCCAGTTAGATGTTCATCCAAGGTAAGACTATATAATACTTTTCCCACTTTTGAACCAATCAGAACAAGTTCTGTGGCCTTTTTCCTTATACATATATATAAATTAGATTTGAATGGGTTAATGCTTTGTATAGGCTCAGTCAAAATTGACAAGTCTTTTGTGTGTTTAATGACATGCTCTTTAAGGAAACCATATGCACCACTGTCCACATTGATTGAGTCATGACAGTTTCAGTAGCTAAAAGAAAAAGACAAGAAAAAGAAAACAATCAGCCAGATAAGAACATGTTAGAACAAGCCTCACACTAAGCCCCTCCAGAGAGTGTGTGCCAATGAGAGATCTTTTAAAGCTAAGCACTGGAACCTTCAGTACCATGGACAGCAGACAGCAACATCTCAAGCCGTGTTGAGTTGCATGGATAGTGCATGGATAAGCAAATGTATATTGACCTATTCTTTTTGCTGCTGTACTCTAACACATTTCAAATGCAACAATAACTGTAAGCTGAAGTGCCAGCTTTTAATTCCAGGCTATTTATATTCAAGGGACTATAATTGGCTGCTCAGTTGTTTCTTGGCCAGCTGTGTGTTGTTGCATCCATAGTTCATGCAGAAGAGAGCTAACAAAAGGTCTGGGATTGATTCTAGGCCTGCCATTTGCATCTGGAGTTGGTTGCTGTTGCCTCTCACCATGAGGACGTGTCCGTCCCGGTAAAGCAGGCCATCAAGAGGCTGAAAAATGCAAGTAAATCAATCAGAGACAGAACCAAAACACTAGGACTAACACATCTGTTTGGAACAGAGCACAGAAGCAAACTGGTGAGCTCAGTAATAGTAAACAACCTGGCAGACCACTGAAGGACCACTGCACAAAGAATACTTTCAATCCTGAACAGATCAAGAATGCAGGAATAGACGTTTCAAAGCCTCTAAGCATAAAGAGGAGGAAACAAGAGCTGGAGCTCAAGAAGCGAATCTCTTCTAAGCATTAAAAACAGAAAGTCCAGTTTGCTACAAAGTGCATAAAACAGCCTGTAGAGTTCTGCTAGTCTTGTACACTTGAGATGACTGGCCTGTTCCAGAGTGATGTAACAAGAAGAGACAACATCCAAAGCATACTGCTTCGTCTGTGAAACATCTTTGAAATACAAATACTGACATGGGCTTATAAAGCATTCAGTAGGACTGGCTCACTTTATTAATAATGTGACTGCTGACAGCAACAAGATACAGCTATAGAGTTTTTCCTGGCCAAATATTCTTGACTGGCCAATGGACTATACAAACAAGTTTTATTTAAGTTAATTTATATTTCGTTTAAGATTATGGTCATAGAATTCTTAGGTACAAAAATACACACACATCATCTAAACCATCGGGCGGAAGGCAGGATACGCCCTGGACAGGTCGCCAGTCCGTCGCAGGGGGTACAAAAATAGTTTTGGTATATTGGAAACTGCATTAGACAGTCAGGATTCGGTTTACTGACAAAGCTATACAGGATAAACAAGACAAGGGGACAGCACAACAACACGAATCACACTGTATACATTAGTATCATACAATGGACAAGCCACAGTTCACAGTTCATACAGTACTGTGCAAATGCCACAATCCTAACAACCGTGCAAGGCCACCAAAACTGCCCCCATCAGATAAGCAGCACGTAAAGCTTTCATCTCTGAGAGAGAGGAGAAAATCAAGCTGCTTCAGATCTGAAAACACCCACAGGTGTTTCTGTCCATCCTTCCACTGTGAGAAGACGACTCAGCTCTATGAGTCTGAAAGGATGTGTAGGACACCGAAATTGGACAACTGAGACATGAAGTAAGGTTTTATGGACAGATGAGTCTAAATTTGTAACTGGAATTAGTTGGATTGTGAGAAGCTGAAAATGCAACCAACTTCTAAGACTGAACTTTGGAGGTGTGGAAAAAAATATCCCTGCAGATTCTTTAACAAACTGAAAGCAAGTCTCCTGAAAAGAATGGAAGCTGTAACAGATGCAACGTGTGGGCGTGATAAATACTGAAAAGGCTGATATATTTAGTTGTCGAGGCTTCTGTGTGATT